AAATGGATTATATAAATATAATTTAGTGGCATAAAATCCCCTACAAATACAAAATATTAAATACAAATATTATCAAACTAAATAATAGTAATAAAATAATTTTTTATTTTTATTTTTATTTTTGACCAACACCCAAAAAGTACGAGGGGATATGTGTATATGCATTTAGATCAGCCGTGTCAGTCAGTTTTCTTCAAAAAATCACATTTTGTGTTGCATGGAAGGAATAAAAACATATGAGTTTGGATCAGCATTTTGAATCCATTCTCTTTCTTTCACTTGTCTTCCTCAAAATCTCGAACATTATAGAAAAATGTAAGATTTTTAGAAAAATAAAAATACTCATAAAGGTCAACCTTTGAACTAACCGTCACTGTTGCGTAAGCAGATCATATACGGATTCATATGAATTCATTGCCAAAATGTAAAATAGTTATGAATTGCTATGAGATTGTGTTGGAGGAACAGATAAAAAAGCATTCAACTTGGAAGAAGAGCATTTGGACCAGTTTAATAATACTTGACTGTCCTAGTCCTCATTCAAGTGCATTATGTTGGAAAGCACAGCCAGAATGTTCTGGGTTTGAATCAGCATCCGTTCTGTCGGGTGCGTTCGGTCTCCCTCAAACTCTCCTTCATCATACGGGTGCTGTAAGCCTTTCCGTGACTAGCTGTCATTAATCTGACTTCTCTGGGGCCGAAGCTTGAGCTCGTGCCAGCAGGAGAGATGGAAGAAGGCAGTGAAGGAGTGTTGGGCTGGTGAAGAGGGGAACTCAAAACAGAGCAGCTTTTCTTGCTTCGGTTCCGGGAACTTCCATTACGATGTGGAGAAGTCTAGGCCAACAAACAGAGCTGCTTATCAGACCACCCTCAGAGAAACACACTCCCACTGACTTCACACAACTCTCCAGAGAGAACTTACCGAAGTCATCCTCCAGCGCTGTTGTTGATCTAACACGCGTTTGAGTAAACCCGTTTACATTAACCCGGATATAATCTGGTTATAGGACACAATGTTCTCCTTGTATGTTAATGCATTCTCGTGTTGTTTAGCTCAAATATGATGTTAAGGTCCTTCAATGCTATCTCACGACCAATTCGTACAAGTGAGTAAAAGGTGGTTAATTCGTATGAATTCGTACGATTTGTCTGAACCCCAGTGATGTGTAGGTTTAGAGGCGGGGTCAAGGGTCATTCGTACGAATTCATACGAATTGGGCAACTCGTAAAATATGTTCGATTTAGCAAAAATCGATTTCGTACGATTGAGGTTGTATGAATTTGTACGAATTAGCCACCTCGTAAAATTCGACCGAATCGCCGTGAGATCGGATTGGTTCCTTTCACACTGAATCCGAAATTATTTATTAAAATGCGTTTTTTGTATTCGTCATCTTAAAAATTCAGTGGCTCTGAATTGTCAAAACACCTCTCAAAATACTCGCTGCTGATGCCAAGAAAATCGAACCCGATCTGAATTTTTTTTTATGACAGACGAAAGTTTCGGAGGCAGTGTGTAAACGTGATTGACACAATGTGAGGTCGTATTTATTTTTTAACGTGTGAAAATTTCGGACGAGAATTTCGGACTCGGTGTGCAAGGACTTTTATTGATGTAAATAAAAGCATCTACCAAATGCATACTTAATACATAACTGTAAGTACATTTATGAATCAGAACTTTTGGCTACATTTGCATTTGAAATTGCATGTTTGATGCATGTCATGTGATGCATATTGTAGCTACTGTATACATATGGTCATATTAAGTTAAGTTACTGGTAACAATTTATCTCGATAGTGCAACTAGCAGTCATTATATTATTAGTAATTAGTTATTATTATTAGTAATAACGGTTTTACCGATAACGATAACTAGGTTGGACCATGCTGGCCGATACCTGATTAATCAACTGATTTTTTTTTTTTAAATGATACTGAATGAAATCAAACATAACACATCAAATAGTGCTGAACCATGACAATGTACTGTACTTTTTAAATATAAAAATATTAATACATTAATTATACCTTGATCATTCATGTTAGTTCATAGTGCATTAACTAATGTTAAGAGATGCAACTTTAAAATGTAAAAAAGTATTAGTAAATGTTGAAATGAACAATACTTTTATTAATCTTAGTTAATGTTACAAATAGACTCTTTATATTTAAAAAAAAATTCAAACACACACACCATTGAAATTAGACACATATGCATATTCTATATACACTCACCGGCCACTTTATTAGGTACACCTGTCCAACTGCTCGTTAACACTTAATTTCTAAGCAGCCAATCACATGGCGGCAACTCAGTGCATTTAGGCATGTAGACATGGTCAAGACAATCTCCTGCAGTTCAAACCGAGCATCAGTATGGGGAAGAAAGGTGATTTGAGTGACTTTGAACGTGGCATGATTGTTGGTGCCAGAAGGGCTGGTCTGAGTATTTCAGAAACTGCTAATCTACTGGGATTTTCACGCACAACCATCTCTAGGGTTTACAGAGAATGGTCCGAAAAAGAAAAAACATCCAGTGAGCGGCAGTTCTGTGGGCGGAAATGCCTTGTTGATGCCAGAGGTCAGAGGAGAATGGCCAGACTGGTTCGAGCTGATAGAAGGGCAACAGTGACTGAAATAACCACTCGTTACAACCGAGGTATGCAGCAAAGCATTTATGAAGCCACAACACGCACAACCTTGAGGCGGATGGGCTACAACAGCAGAAGACTCCACCGGGTACCACTCATCTCCACTACAAATAGGAAAAAGAGGCTACAATTTGCAAGAGCTCACCAAAATTGAACAGTTGAAGACTGGAAAAATGTTGCCTGGTCTGATGAGTCTCGATTTCTGTTGAGACATTCAGATGTTAGAGTCAGAATTTGGCGTAAACAGAATGAGAACATGGAACCATCATGCCTTGTTACCACTGTGCAGGCTGGTGGTGGTGGTGTAATGGTGTGGGGGATGTTTTCTTGGCACACTTTAGGCCCCTTAGTGCCAATTGGGCATCGTTTAAATGCCACGGCCTACCTGAGCATTGTTTCTGACCATGTCCATCCCTTTATGGCCACCATGTACCCATCCTCTGATGGCTACTTCCACCATGTCACAAAACTCTAATCATTTCAAATTGGTTTCTTGAACATGACAATGAGTTCACTGTACTAAAATGGCCTCCACAGTCACCAGATCTCAACCCAATAGAGCATCTTTGGGATGTGGTGGAAAGGGAGATTCGCATCATGGATGTGCAGCCGACAAATCTGCGGCAACTGTGTGATGCCATCATGTCAATATGGACCAAACTCCCTGAGGAATGCTTCCAGCACCTTGTTGAATCTATGCCACGAAGAATTGAGGCAGTTCTGAAGGCAAAAGGGGGTCCAACCCGTTACTAGCATGGGGTACCTAATAAAGTGGCCGGTGAGTGTATATACTATCACACTTTATTTGATTCTATTTTAGAACACTTGACGGTTAGCCAATAAAAATACAAAATACCGGTATGTAAAACAGTGACGATAAAAGAAAACACTGAAATCGAATGCTTTTGTTTCTGTCGTCTGCATGATAACACAGTGTGCTTTCTCATGTCTCTAGCTTTAAATATGCAACTTCGATACATAACTAATGCATAAAAGTGACCAGCTGGATATAAAGTAATGCAAACAGAGGGTAACAATTGTGTTTTTGTCACATTGTTTTAACCGCTCGAGTTACTAATGTTAGTGCCCTCTCAACCTCGACCGCAAACACACCGCTGTTCTCCACTAATGTGTCATCTAGTCAACAAATTAATTACTTTAAAATGATATGAAAGCATGTACTGTAGTGTAAATCTGCATCTGAAGTGTCCCGCTCTCAGCCTCACGTGTCAAAACAAACTCCACGAGTGTCAGTGATGGGTTTCGCCTCTAGAGGGCGCTCTCGTACTTTAATGACAGAAGACTCTTCTCAGCCGCTCCAGTAACAGACCAACCCGGAAAAACTATCGCTATGGATTTTTTTCCAATAACCGATTATTCCAGCATTCAGTTATCAGTGCCGATTAATTAGCAAAACCGATCAATCTGCATCGATAATCCGTCTGCACAAAGGATTAGTTCACTTCACAATGATAATTCTGTCATAATTTACTCACCCTCAAGTTGTTTCCAACCTGTATGAATTTCTTTCTTCTGCTGAACACAAAAGAAGATATTTTGAAGAATGTCGGTAACCGGACAGTTGATGGACCCCATTGACTTCCATAGTATATATATATTTTTTCTACTAGGGAAGTCAATGGGGTCCATCAGATGTTTAGTTACCGACATTCTTCAAAATATCTTCTTTTGTGTTCAGCAGAAGAAAGAAACTCATACAGGTTGGAAACAACTTGAGGTAAACAACTAACACTTTAGTTGATATAAGTAACTTTGCAACTACATGTCAACTTATTCTACTACCCTTGAACCCTTACAACTAACCCTAATCTACTAATAGCTAGAGTTAGCTGACAAGTTTTTACATTTTACACATGTGCAGTAAGATGATTTAAGCATTCTGATATTTAATTTTGGAAAACACTAGTGTGGACAAAGAGTATTTTGAAATGAAAACCGCATTTTCAAATGTATTAATTTGAAGCCTTAAAGGCTCGTCTCACGGGTTTGCGAGAAAGTTTCTTAAAGGATTATCCAAACACAACAGTGTGATTCCAGATGTAGTTCATGCCCCATCCATAACCCGTTTTTTCTGGAGTTCTTGTGGTACGGCACACCCAAATGTTGCACTTCAGAAAGCCTTGATCTGACTGAGGCGGAGAGCTTTAGTCAACAGTCGAGTCTCAGCCCTGGCACACTCTCCGCTGTGAAACTCTCGCTGAGATAATGTGTGAAGTTAAGAGAGCTGAGAAGTTACAGAGTGTCAGAACCACTTGGAACAGTTTGCTGCAATGCAACACCAGATCGGTTGAGAACTGATGTAGTGATAATGTCTGTTTCTTTCAGAAATCTGGCTATTGGCATTGGCATTCAGAATTTCCCAGAAGGCCTTGCAGTGAGTCTCCCATTGCGCGGTTCTGGGGTGTCCACATGGAGATCCTTTTGGTGAGTCAAGACAAATACACGTTCACATCCAGAACCCAGTGAGATGCCTACCGTTACCTGGACACCAGGCATACATGATTATAATGCAAAGGCTGCTCCAAACTATTTAGACACCTTCAGTTGGACCAACATTTGCAGAATAGGCCATACCAGAATGCAAACGCCAAACTCACACTTATCGGACAAACAGCAAAAAAAAAAGTTTTATTTGAAAAAGGCCAAACTCACACTTATCGTCTAAACAGAATTACATTATTTCAAAAATATATATTAAAAAGGCTAAACTGACACTTATCAATCAAACAGAAGAAAAAAAAGAAAATTAAAACTAAAAAAGGCCAAACTAACTCTTATCGGCCAAAAAAAAAAAAAGTAATAAATAAATAAAAAGGCGAAACTGACACTTATCGGCCAAACAGAAAATAATAATAATAATTATAAAAGGCCAAACTGATACTTATTGGCCAAACAGAGAAGAAAGAAAAAAAAAACAAGGAAAGAAAATAACATAAAAAAGGCTAAACTGACACTTATCGGCCAATAAGTGGCCAAATGGCCAAACAGAAAAAAAAAAAAAAAAAAAATTTAAATTAAAAAAGGGCAAACTGACACTTATTGGCCAAACAGAACAAAATAAAAAAAATGATAACAAGGCCAGACTGGCACTTATCTATGTAAGCTTGTTTCCGACACTGATTAAAATAAATAAATAAATAATTGCAACTTTTTATCTCACAATTGCGAGATATGAAGTCAGAATTGCGAGATATGAAGTCAGAATTGTGAGATATAAAGTCGCAATTATGAGAAATAAAGTCGCAATTGCGAGAAAAAAATACAGAATTGAGACTTTTTATCTCACAATTCTGACTTTATAACATAATTTCGAGTTTATATCTCGAAATTCTGAGATCTTTTCTCAGAATTGTGAGATATAAACTTGCAATTGAGAGTTAATTCTAAGGAAAAAAATAATATTTTTTTCCCCTCAGAATAGTTTATATCTCACAATTCTGACTTTATATCACGCAATTGCGACTTTGTCACGCAATTCTGACTTTATATCCTGCAATTGCAACTTTATATCAATCAATTCTGACTTTATATCTCGCAATTCTGACTTTATATCACGCAATTGCAACTTTATATCAATCAATTCTGACTTTATATCTCGCAATTCTGACTTTATATCAATCAATTCTGACTTTATATCACGCAATTGCAACTTTATATCAATCAATTCTGACTTTATATCTCGCAATTCTGACTTTATATCAATCAATTCTGACTTTATATCAATCAATTCTGACTTTATATCTCGCAATTCTGACTTTATATCAATCAATTCTAACTTTATATCTCGCAATTCTGACTTTATATCAATCAATTCTGACTTTATATCACGCAATTCTGACTTTATATAAATCAATTCTGACTTTATATCTCGCAATTCTGACTTTATATCAATCAATTCTGACTTTATATCTCGCAATTCTGACTTTATATCAATCAATTCTGACTTTATATCTCGCAATTCTGACTTTATATCAATCAATTCTGACTTTATATAAATCAATTCTGACTTTATATCTCGCAATTCTGACTTTATATCAATCAATTCTGACTTTATATCAATCAATTCTGACTTTATATCACGCAATTCTGACTTTATATCAATCAATTCTAACTTTATATCTCGCAATTCTGACTTTATATCAATCAATTCTGACTTTATATCTCGCAATTCTGACTTTATATCAATCAATTCTGACTTTATATCTCGCAATTCTGACTTTATATCAATCAATTCTGACTTTATATAAATCAATTCTGACTTTATATCTCGCAATTCTGACTTTATATCAATCAATTCTGACTTTATATCTCGCAATTCTGACTTTATATCTCGCAATTCTGACTTTATAACATGCAATTGCAACTTTATATCAATCAATTCTGACTTTATATCTCGCAATTGTGAGAAAAAAGTCAGAATTGTGAGATAAAAAGTCACAATTACGCAATTACCTTACCTTCTTATTTTTCATTCTGTGGCGGAAACAAGCTTCCATACTTATCAGCCAAACTTAAAAATAATTTAAAAAAAACTCCCAATGTCAGCCAATATATCTGAATTGGCGATATGTTGGTTGGCCGCTAGTTAGGATGCTGTCTAGAAGGAAGCTGCAGCTCTCTTAGTTTTGACACAATGCCACAATCACAAACATTTCTTAAGGTCTGATAGTCTTAAAGTATTCCTAACACGTCCTCAGCCCTCTCTGATCTCTGAGATTGAGTCGGTGAGCAGTGTAACGGGCCGGTCTGTGTCTCAGGTACGGACAGCTGAGTGGGATGGTGGAGCCTCTGGCGGGGTTGTTAGGGGCCGTTGCCGTGGTGATGGCGGAGCCGTTGCTACCCTACGCTCTCGCCTTCGCTGCAGGAGCCATGGTGTATGTGGTGGTGGATGACATCATTCCTGAAGCTCAAGTCAGGTAAAAGTTTTACCACGGTAAAAGTGTTTACTGGAAGAGAAGGTCTGCAGATGTTCATACGAAAAAAAAAACGGCCTCTAAAAAAAGCCTTAAAGGCGCACTGTGTGATTTTTAGCGGTATCTAGTGGTGAGCTTGTGAATTGCACCCAACAGAAGTTACGGTGGCCGACAGGAAGTGATGTCGTCGTCTGAGACAGCAGAGAGTAGCGTTAAGCAATAAAGAAGCGTTAAGCTTCTTTACAAAGATAAATTAAGAAATTAGGTTTACTTGATTATTCAGTAAAACAATGTTATTGCGAATATTATTGTTACGTGTTCATCATTGTGTCAGTGTTTATTCGCTGACTTTAGCAGCTTCTTTACACAAAGAACACGAAACGCGTTTGTCCCTTTAGGGCCACCGTAGAAACATGTCGATGTAAGGAGACCCACGGTGTGTGTGTGTGTACTGTAGATAGAAATGGCTCTTTCTAAGGTGATAAATACATAGCGGTTCATTATGTAAGGTCTTTATACACCACTGAAAACATAGTTATGTATATGATATTGCATTTCATCCTCCTAAATATTACACAGTGCTCCTTTAAAGAGGCTTGGATATCAGTGGACATTTGCCATTTTTTATTATTGACATTGACTTTTTCTATTTAGCCAATATGATTCTGAAGCGGGACTTTTATTTTGATAGCTCTGACACAGACTTACTGAATGCCCTTTTTTGTTTATAATCTACTTTTTCTTTTCTTTTTTTGTGAAAAAATAATACAGTATGTTTACATATATATATATATTATGTAATTATAATTGTGTGTGTGTGTGTGTGTGTATTTCTCTTACAGTGGGAACGGTAAGCTGGCCTCGTGGACGTCCATTCTTGGCTTCGTCGTGATGATGTCATTGGACGTGGGTCTTGGCTGAGCCTTTTCATTGGTCGAAACTTTGAATGTCACCCGACTGCACTGAAGTAAAGTGACCAAAGCAGCCTTTTTCTGGAGTTTACTGTAGGTTTACTATTCAATGGAATATTTTTCTACGTATTTTATGTAATTTTTATTTGTTTTATGAATGACTCGCGGACCACATTTGTTTAGACGGCAAAAAAACTTTAATTGCAAAAACTTGAATAATGATTAAAACTTGAATGAATGACTTAAGGGGTTGTTCAGGTGTGTGTGTGTGTGTGTGTATTTCTGTGTACATGAGAGCTTGCCATCATTAATATATGGACCGTAAGTTCTCAGTATCGATGTGCACTCATTTGAACGAAAAGCAATGATAACTCTGTTCATAACCTTCTTGAGTAATGCATTGTTTTTTTAGCTAGTCTTTTCAGTCAGCCAGTCACTTTCAAGTTATGAAATTAAATAAGGGTTTTATTTTACGGCATTTTCTTTTCAATTGCTGATAATTACACATTATATGCAACACAAGTAAGGTAATATGCAACACGTGTGAATGAATATGTAAAATAATTACACTGTACAACCTGTTTATTTTTTTTTCATTTGTTCTACACTGTGAAATACAGTGAATATTTTCATTTGATTGCTTAAATAAGGAGAAAAGAGTAATAAACTGATTGTCTAATTCCCCTTTTTCCTGTTGTTTTGTTCACTTTCTTGCACATATTATAGTTTGCATCTATCATGTCATTTTAATGTCATGAGATTTAATGTATTTAATGTAATGTCAGCCCTATTGAGCTGGTTCCTTCTGTTTATATTATATACAGGTGAAACTCGAAAAATTAGTTTATTTATTTCAGTAATTCAACTTAAAAGGTGAAACTAATATATTATATAGACTCATTACATGCAAAGTGAGATATTTCAAGCCTTTATTTGTTATAATGTTGATGATTATCGCTTACAGCTTATGAAAACCCCAAATTCAAAATTAGAATATTGTGAAAAGGTTTTCATAAGCTGTAATCCATAATCATCAACATTATAACAAACAAAGGCTTGAAATATCTCACTTTGCATGTAATGAGTCTATATAATATATTAGTTTCACCTTTTAAGTTAAGTTACTGAAATAAATGAACTTTTGCACGATATTCTAATGTTTCGAGTTTCACCTGTATATGCGCACATGGTTTTTAATCATCTTTCATAAAAGGCCGAACTAAAAGCTCTAAAAAGAGTAATAGCTGCATTTAGGATAAACTCTTATCGAACATACATTTTTAAATGCATGGATTGCACGGTTTTGACTGTATCTAACATCTAAATTTAATAATTTAAACTTAATAATTTTACCCTGTTACACAAGAAAAAAACCCACAAATATTATTTATTTAATTTACGGGCAATATAAATTCATTAGCAACCAATAAACCAATATTTTCTCCCAAACTATCCTCTAATGATGATTTCTTTTTAAATATAAGTTTATAAGTATAAGTCTTTATTTTTATATGAATTGCTATAAAATGCTAGATGAAATCACACAAATCTGTCCCAAAAGTTTGTAAAAATTGCAGTCTCCATAGAAAATAAAAACTGCACACATAATTTGTCGTTTTAACCGCTGAGGATGACATCTCAACATGTTCTGGTTGCTATTTACTCCAGACCCAGTTTTCATATTCGTGGAAAGTGGCGATGAAAAAGGAAGTGTTTTAGTCAAAACAGCATATTAACTATGAAGAGCATCTGGAGGAAAGCCAATGTTTTCCTCTTGAAGTTCAAGCGGTTACTCTTGTGGTTTCCTCTTGCAAAGTGGTCCATCCACAACATGAGTGTGTTTATGCAAAGTCTGTTTCGTGGCGTATGTTTTATAATGCACATTTACTTCTTAATCCGTCACATTGTTGGATTATTCTATAGGGCAGGCGAATAAATCGAATGTCAGACTCCACCTGGAGACGCTTGTCCTCCTCGTAAGCTTCTTACACAGCTCATTGCATATATATATGGCTCAGGCATTGAATTGTGGCAGCAATCTAGAAAGCTTGTTCTGTTTGGCGTGAACTGCAATGGATTTGATTCCAGCCGCAGATGAGACTACACTTTTAGATTAAGCCTAAGCTCGCAATCAATACTTCATCACATTAGAAGCCTTAGTTCAAATATTTGATTGTTGAATAGGAGTGAGAGCGACTGACCGACCTTCATCTGTCTTTAGTTGAATCAATAGACCTCTGTTTTGAATCTTAACTCACGTGAACTTAGTTGGAGCTGGTTATTGTATTTAACGAAACTGACTCTGTCCGGAAAGTTAAATCAGATATTATTAATAAAGAGGACCTATTATGCAAAGACTTGCTTTTAGGCTGTACTAAAACAGGGTTTCATGCTTTATTTCCCCATATTCTCTATTGTTGCAGCTCCTCTCTTCCCAGTCTGTCAGGAACGCTCTGGAGTGTGTTTCCCGTACAGCGCCGTAGCGTAACACACTGCTTCACTACAATAGTACGATGCATCGTTGAAGAAAGCAAAATAGCTAGTCACGACTGTTTCCCGAAACCGTAATGTCGCAAAGTGGTCGTTCAACCACGTTGGTTAATGATGTCAATAACTTTTCTTTTAATTAATCTTTTTGAGATCGAATTAATGCTAGATATTTTGCTATAAATTACAGACATGGCATCTGAGGAATATTTCTCATTTTTTTTCCAGTTATTTTGCTTTATTTCCAGACTCAATCATAGACTCGTTCTTATCACGTTCGCACATGCGCAGTCTTAAATTACGCTTTAAATCTCTTGACAAACTAGGACGTAAATTACTTGGTATGTATTCTAAATAAAAGACACAGGTTGTACTGAATGTCAGCTTGCTAATTTTGTTCAAGATCAGGATTTATTGAGTCATGAAGACTAGAAACTGCTTCTAACCACAGGTTGAGATCTGTCGTTACAAACACACAAGTTTGCGATGCTGTTTGCGAATGTTCGTTATAACGATGGTTTCGTGAAAAACTCGTTGAACTGCTGACAATGGAACTTGCGACCATAGTTGGCTAATGATGCTTTCGGGAAACGCACCCTATGAAGCCCCTCCTTCTGAAAAGCACACTGTGCTCTGATTGGTCGAGCGCTTCGAGTGTGTTTGGGAAATGTCCCGCCCCTTTCCATAACGGCCAGTTTAACACACTACTAACTAACTCAACCAGGCCCCGCCCCTTTATTCTGCATATGAATTATTTAAATGAGGAATATTGTGACGTGTTCATTCAAGAAAACTCAAGATGGAGGCGTTTCAGGGAGTTCAGAAACACTGACACTGATATAGAGAAGAACTGTTTGACTTTGAAACTTTGCAAGCTTTTTCACGCTCAAACAGCAACATTACACACTGAAGAAAGATGAACATGTAAAAACACAGGTAACGCTTCCTTTTACAGTCCTGTTACCCATGTACTTACTTTGTACTTATTATAATGATTATAATTACTGGGTAATAACTAGGTACTAACCCTGAACCTACCCCTAACCCATGTACTTACCTTATATTAGCCAGTACTTTGTAAGTACACTGTGAGTACTGTACTGTAAAAGGAAGCATTACCAAAACGCATAACCCTCTAAAATGGACCAGTGACTGAGTTTGTCATGTAAATGAGACCACTTACTGCAGTAAAGCTCTGTTTTGAGTAAACGACACACATCATAACCCTGACCTAAATAATGAAGAAAGAGGCCTTTTCTTGTGTTTTTCACATAACCTGGAAAAGTTCGCTGGATAACTTCAGTCACGTGATCTGTGCCACTGAAGTGGTTTGGTATGGCATGTGTGAAGGAATGTGTTGGGGTTAAACAGAGAGACTGCTCACAATGTCTTTGTGTTTCAGAGTCTGACTCCCGGTCACGCAGTAATGCAACTTGGACAAGCTCACAACCCCGAAGTATGTGTGTGTGGGAGAGCGTGCATTATTCAATACATCTTCCCTCTAGACCTCATCTGCACTAGAACTCATATTTATTTCAATATAAAGGGTTATAAAGGAAATAATTCTAGCAAAACAGAATATCTGAATATATAATAAATCCCAAATATGCAGTTATTATGAATATACTGAATAGTTCACATGGACATTTGACATCAACAGTCTTAGAAGAAAAGCTTCTCGAAAGGGAAAGGGTTCCGGCGGACACTTTATGGGTTCCAATCATGGCATCATTTTATGGATTTAGCTTTAATTCATTGTTTTTAAAATATTTTTTTTTCTCTTTTAATTACATTTTATGAATTAAACGGCTCATAAATACTTCATCACAAGAAAAAAAAAGAAAAGAAAAAATAATAACTCATAAAACAAAAGTATAATGCAATAATTGGATATTTTTAGGGTTCTTTAAATTTGAGTCAAGAATAGGGTTTAAATATAGAAATTATTGAACCTTTTGGGTTCAAATATATATATTTGTATAAGGGAAATTGGATGGTTTTATATGCTGTAATCACAATTTTGTTTTCTTTTTAGTTATACTATTAATTTTAATGGTCCTGCAGCATAAACATTCATTTTAAATTAAATTAATTGTAGGGTCCAATTCTCACTATTAACTAGTTGTTTATTAGCATGCATATTATATTGGCTGTTTATTAGTACTTCTAAAGCACATATTAATCCCTTATTCTGCATGATCATATTCTACATCCCTTAATACCTAAACTTAACAACTTACTGTTAATAAGCAGTAATTAGGAGTTTATTGAGGCAAACGTCATTAATACAATAGTTAATAGTGAGAATTGGACCCAAAACTAAAGTGTGACCAAATTAATTTGTTCAATTTTTTTGTAGTCTCTCAATTAATATGAATTGGTCAAAACTGCCATACATCAAACCTACGAGTCAGATTTATTAAATGAGTTCATTGCACTTAATAGACAAAGTTACATGAACTCAATAACTGATTAAAAGCAGAACTCTAGTTTTTCTCAGATTTCTAGTTCCCAGCATGCTTTGCTTGAAGGAAATGAAATTTTATTTTATGTGTTTTTGCTATAGCAGATTAAAAAAAAATGAGGGTAGAGTTAATGTTTTTAAATTTAATGGTTTTAATCAATACAGTTAAGTTTCATTCAGCAACATAAAATAATTGAGTGGAGTTTAACTGCATTTTAAGAAATATTCTTTTAATGAAATAAGTTTATAATGCTCATAATATATATAATGGAAACTTTCCGCCACATAATATCTAAACCAATTATGAGATAAAAAGTCACAATTAACTTTTTAATTTTTTTTATTCCGTGCCATGAACAAGATCAATAAGATATAGGCCCCCCTCATGTATTGCTACTTATCATATATAAAATAATATCCTACAAAACTACAAATCCCATGATGCATTGGTGCTGAGTCTGAGTCTGCGCGCGTGCGAGCGTGTGGAATGAAGGGCGCACTTGTTGAGTTTGGGAACTTTCAGAAGCTTGAACTTCTCACTTTGGACGCAGCGGAGCTCTCTGTATCACCAGGCAACATGGATGTATGCTGGCTTTGCTCTTCGACGACTATGTTGCTCGTGCCGAAATGCTTGTCAAAGTTTAATTTGAGTGTGTTTAGTGTTTTACGGATGAGACACGCCGTTATAGCGCGCGCGAGTCATGAATAACATTGACTGTCATGATGTATCTC